GCTGATTTGGTTTTTTTTTTTTTATGAAAGTTCAGTCTTCCTAACTCCCCTTTCTAGCCCTAATCCTCTCCAAGATGGTATCCAGGTGGGCAGAAAAGTACACAAAACCACACAATGGCAGATCCACAAGGTAGCCTCCAGCTCTGATGGGTTCCTGCATGGAGTGGCTGGTCTGGCCTTGTCTTTGGACTGGAAATTAATCATGGGTTCCATTTCTTCATTTGGAGTTCATGTTCTGTATTAGTTAGAAGTCTCCAGAGATACAGAAATAATAAGGGGTGTGTGTGTGTGTGTGTGTGTGTGAGAGAGAGAGAGAGAGAGAGAGAAGTTGCAAGATTTGCAGTCAACAACTGGAAATTTAGGACCACTTACCTGTAGTTCCAGTCTGAGTCCAAAAGCCTGAGAGCCAAGAGAGCTGAGGGTATAAGTACCAGTCCAAAATTCAGCAGGCTTGAGACACAAGAGCCGGTGTTTCAGTCTGAGTCTAAAGGTCAGAAAAACTCGATGTCCCTGCTTAACAGTCAAGCAGAAGAAGTTCTTTCTTATTCAGCCCTTTTGTTCTATGCAGGTCTTCAATTGATTAGCTAAGTTCCGCTCACTTAGGAAGGGCAATCTGCTTTACTCCATCTATTAATTTAAATGCTACTCTCACCCAGAAACACCCTTACAGACATACCCTGAATAATGTTTGACCAAATATATAAATATCTCATGCCTTGGACAAGTTGACACATAAAACAAATCATCAAACAATCCTAAACATTTGCCTTCGGTTCTGAAATCTCAACGAAGTATTACTGTACACTTAAGAGTTTCTGTGAATCAGTAAGAAAAAGAAAACAACCCAATAGGAATAAAGACAAAAAGTACAGAGAATTCTCAGAAAAGGAAAACTAAATGCCCAATAAGCATATGAAAATATGTCCAAACTTACTAATAATTTGGAAACAAATTAAAACCATGAAAAGATGCCATTTCACACCTATCCAATTGGCAAAATGGTAGCAAAGATATGGCGCTATGGAAACAAATCATATTACAAGATGACAAAAATAATATTACATATAAAAACCTATAGGGTATAGTAATGTGGCACTTAGAGGTAAATTTATGTATGTTTGTGGACTTCTCATTCCAGTAATAACAAACTAAGGACTCAGATCAATATTTTCACTAAGAACACTTAGAAACCATAGATAAAATATTTAAGGAAATGTATGTTTGAGGGTCTGGAGAATTAATAAAATAATGAAGAATATTTAGGAGGAATGAAAAACCTAGAGCAATGAGCCCAGTGCTCATGGCCATTTTTTCCCTAGAGGCACCAGAGGAGGAGGCTAAGGGGCTGCAAACCTGAGCAGACTTTTTGATTGCTTCAAAGGACAAAGGGGACAAAATAAGAACCCAGAGCCCACTAAGTAGGAGGGGAGGCCAGTAAACCTCCCTTACATTGTTTGCATTCGGAGGAGATTTATCGAAACAAATAATGCCAGCTAAGAAATAAATGGTTTGTTGAAGAGGTTAAGATGACTCCTGATTACTAGTATCTCTGGATGCCTGCCAGAAAACATAAATCTTACCTGGGGAAACAGAAAAGTTTAGCTGCACCAGAAAATATGACCATATATATAAGCAGGCCAGACTACATGCTTAAAAACCAAGAAAAACAATACATATTAGAAATAGAGCACAGAGTATCCTGATAATGGATACATGACATTAATTTTAAGATAGCATTTTAAATGTTCAAGGAAATTTTTAAAAATTGAGAAAATTGACGGATAATTTAAATTACTCAAAATAAAATTCTAGAATTTAAAAATATAACTCAGCCAGGCACAGTGGCCTATGCCTGTAATCTCAGCACTTTGAGAGGCTGACGTAGAAGGATCACTTGAGACCAGCCTGGACAACATAGTAAGAACCTATCTTTACAAAAATATTAGCCAGGTGGAGTGATGCACACCTGTAGTCCCAGCTATCCCCATCAAGCTACCATTGACTTTCTTCACAGAACTGGAAAAAACCACCATGAACTTCACATGGAAACAAAAGAGAGTCCGCATAGCCACGTCAATTCTAAGCAAAAAGAACACAGTGGGAGGCAACACACTACTGGACTTCAAACTATACTACAAGGCTACAGTAATCAAAACAGCATGGTACTGGTACCAAAACAGAGATATAGACCAATGGAACAGAACAGAGGCATTGGAGGCAACACAACATATCTACAACCATAGAATCTTGGATAAACCTGACAAAAATAAGCAATGGGGAAAGGATTCCCTGTTTAATAAATGGTGTTGGGAAAACTGGCTAGCCATGTGCAGAAAGCAGAAACTGAACCCCTTCCTGACACTTTACACTAAAATTAACTCCAGATGGATTAAAGACTTAAACATAAAACCTAGCACCATAAAAACCCTGGAAGAAAATCTAGGCAAAACCATTCAGGACATAGGAGTAGGCAAGGACTTCATGAACAAAACACCAAAAGCATTGGCAACAAAAGCCAAAATAGACAAATGGGACCTAATCAAACTCCACAGCTTCTGCACGGCAAAAGAAACAGTCACTAGAGTGGATCGGCAACCAACAGAATGGGAAAAAATTTTTGCAGTTTACCCATCTGACAAAGGGCTGATATCCAGAATTTACAAAGAACTCAAACTGATTTACAGGAAAAAAACAAACAGGCCCATTCAAAAGTGGGCAAAGGATATGAACAGACACTTTACGAAAGAAGACATATATGAGGCCAACAATCATATGAAAAAATGCTCATCGTCGCTGGTCATCAGAGAGATGCAAATCAAAACCACATTGAGATACCATCTCACGCCAGTTAGAATGGCGATCATTAAAAAATCTGGAGACAACAGATGCTGGAGAGGATGTGGAGAAAAAGGAACACTTTTACACCATTGGTGGGAGTGTTAATTAGTTCAACCATTGTGGAAGACAGTGTGGCGATTCCTCAAGGCCTTAGAAATAGAAATTCCATTTGACCCAGCAATCCCATTACTGGGTATATATCCAAAAGACTATAAATCGTTCTACTATAAGGACACATGTACACGAATGTTCATTGCAGCACTGTTTACAATAGCAAAGACCTGGAGTCAACCCAAATGCCCATTGATAATAGACTGGATGGGAAAAATGTGGCACATATACACCATGGAATATTATGCAGCAATCAGAAATGATGAGTTTGTGTCGTTTGTAGGGACATGGATGAATCTGGAAAACATCATCCTCAGCAAACTGACACAAGAACAGAAAATGAAACACCGCATATCCTCACTCATAGGTGGGTGATGAAAAATGAGAACACATGGACACAGAAAGGGGAGTACTAAACACTGGGGTCTATTGGGGGGAAAAGGGGAGGGCCAGTGGGAGGGGGAGGTGGGGAGGGATAGCCTGGGGAGAAATGCCAAATGTGGGTGAAGGGGAGAAGAAAAGCAAAGCACACTGCCATGTGTGTACCTACGCAACTGTCTTGCATGCTCTGCTCATGTACCCCAAAATCTAAAATCCAATAAAAAATTAAAAAAAAAAAAGAATATATTTTTGGCTTATAATTCCTCTTTTCATTTTGTATATAATTAAAAAGGCAAAAGCCTAAAACAATCATTATAAATATATGCTGATGGTAACATAATGTATAAAAATGTAGTTTGTAACACAATAACAACACAAGAGAGGGCAGAGCGATGTAGTAGCAAATTTTGTATACAATTGAAACTAAATTGGTATTATTTCAAATTTAAATTTTTATAAATTCAGATGTTAATTGTAATCCATGACATGATCACTATGAAAACAACTAAAACTATATACAATATAGTAAAAGAGCTGAGAATTAAAATCAATATCTAACAAAAAGAAGGCAATGATGGAGGAATTGAGGAACAAAAAGGATATGGCATGTAAAAAAAAATGATAGAAGTAAATTTCTTCCTTATTAGTAATTATATTAAATGCAAATGCATTAAAGTCTCCAATTTAAAGACGGAGATTGGCAGAATGGATTTAAAACACACACAGACACACACACACACACACACACACACAATTTAATTACATGCTGCCTCCAAGAGATTCACGTTAGATCCAACCAGTAACTAAAAGAGCTGAAGTGGCTATAATAATATCAAAATCTATATATACTTCAAGACAAAAATCGTTACAAAAGACAAAGCAGGATATACTTTAATGATAAGTCAATCATCAAAAAGACATAACAGTTGTAAACACATATGCACCTAACAACCAACTCCCAAAATATATAAAATAAAAACTGACAGAATTGAAATCAGAAATAGTTCAAAGGTAACAGTTGGAAATTTCAGTGTCCCACCTTTAATAATGGATAGAACAATTATGAAAAATACATAAGTAGGCCGGGCGCGGTGGCTCACGCCTGTAATCCCAGCACTTTGGGAGGCTGAGACAGGTGGATCACAAGGTCAAGAGATTGAGACCATCCTGGTCAACATGGTGAAACCCCGTCTCTACTAAAAATACAAAAAATTAGCTGGGCACGGTGGCGTGTGCCTGTAATCCCAGCTACTCAGGAGGCTGAGGCAGGAGAATTGCCTGAACCCAGGAGGCGGAGGTTGCAGTGAGCCGAGATCGTGCCATTGCACTCCAGCCAGGGTAACAAGAGCAAAACTCCGTTTCAAAAAAAAAAAAAAAAGAAAAATACATAAGTAGACTTGAACAACACTAAAACTAATTCTAATAGATCTGACAGACATATATAGAACACTGTACCCAACAATATCAGAATAAACATTCTTCTCAAGTACACACAGAACATTCTCCTGGATAGTTTATATGTCAGGCCACAAAACAAGTCTCAATAAACTTAAAAAGATCGAGCCATAAAAAGCATATTTTCAAACAGAGAAAAAAACTAAAATAACAGAAGGAAATATGGATAATTCACAAATATATGGAAGTTAAATGATACACTTTTTTCCACTTTTGTCACAATTCATTTTTATTAATAGAAAATAAACACTTATTCCAGTTTCAAAGTTGTTATACTTGAAGTTGCTAATTTTTAAAAAATGAATTTTAAATAATCACTTAATAATTCTGCTTTGACTAAGACAATGAAATGGAGCTTTAAAAAAAGTATTCAGCACCATTTGCTCATAGGTCTTTCAGAATTTGTTCTTAAAGTTTCTGGAACTTACCCATCTGTAAAGTACAGGAATTACTGAGCTACATCGGAAAGGCTCTGTGGGACAGGCAATGGGGAGTTAGGCAGTCACCATAAAGGGATCCATGTACATTCAGCATGGTGACTTGGACTACACAACAATTCCTTCCCCTCTGCAGTAGCTCAAGAGAGACGTGCTTTTTAGCACTGAGATATGAGGAGTGTATTTGCTGTTAGAATTGGTCTTCCCAGCTAATAACAGTAAATCTCTGGCACAGATGCTATTGGTCCTTAATGTCCTGTGATTTTGGGAAATAGTTTGGATTTAGTTCAATTTATTCAGAAATCAAACGTTTAATTAGGTTCACTACTCTGGCAGAGTAAGGGTATGCTATGCTGGGTTAGGATCTTTATAAAATATATATAATCTGTAAGTAAATCATAGTCTTAAAAAACATACTAAGAATACTATATTATTCAAACCAATATCTATTTTAGCAAAATGTTTATAACTAAAAACAACTGATGAAACTAAATCGAAAGGTATGACAAAGAGGACTCAGCTCTGTGTTGCTTAAAGAACTTTTAAAACGCATGTGCCCATAAAGCCATTCGAGGAGAGGGAAGGAGGCCCTCTTCTCCTCATTCTTACTTTAGAATTCTTACTGGGCCTGGGCCAGAAATTAGCACTTCTGAATATTTCAGAGAAGTCCAAAGTGTTAAAAAATCTTTTATGCAAAAGAGCGTCTCTCAGCATCAGTGAATAGTAACACTCATCAGAATTTCCCAATAACACAAAAACAGAGCCAAGTCCATACATTTGATCAGATGTCGGAGTACTGGGAGGTGGACTATGATGTCAACCTTAGTCAGAGCTCCTGCTGGCTTCTTCCTATACACTGTTCACCAATTTGAGTAAAGTGGACTTTGTGAGAAAATAGTGTTTGATGGCCAGGACCTCTTTAGGGGATTTCTTCCTAAGTAGAATACACAACAGATAAGGAAGTAGGGGAGGTAATACAGGGAAGCTACTCTTTCCAGCTCAGAAGGAGTTGATGAAGCCCATAGATGCATTCAAGAAGCCCATGGGATCCTCTAGCTGTGGATAGTGGCTAATGTGGTCATCCAGAATCGACACTGTCTACCATGGCAGCATTTTCCTGTACAGCTCCAAAAACTCTGGATAGGGATTTACAGGATCCAATGGCCCATAGATAAAATGAATGGGGATAGACACAGAGGCAAGAGCTCCCATCCAGCGCCTTCTGAACTTCTTCCTCTGATATACTGTAAGAGACTGTCAATGACTAAGTTCCCATCATTGTTGCGGATCCCTGCCCACATGTCCCACAGCTCACTCTGAGAGGGCCGAGTATACGGCCCAAAGACTGGGGTGAGACCTCGTCAGAATACAAAGAAGTTCATCAGTCGTGTGAGGATGGGTGACAGCACACTTCCATCTTTGAGTAGCTTTTGGAGAAGGAGTGGACGGTGAGTCTCAGGAAAGATACATTTGACAGACAGAGACTCTTTATGGTAAGCCGGCCAGATCGATTCTGCTTGTACCTGTAGAGAAACTCCTGAGCAACAATATCTACATAGTCATGAGATAGAAGGTTGATCCTGCGGTTCTGGAGCCCCAGATGCCTCAAAAGAGCTTCCACGATGCTGGCCTGCTCAAATATGGAATAGTGATGCGCTCTCGGTTTGTCACTGAAGCCAAAGCCTGAAGACTTCTATGAGTGCAGGGCAGGGGAGAACTGAGGGGGTGGGATGTGCAGGTATGCAGCAAGCAGAGGCATAGCCAACAGCCCCACCTGGACCCACCACTCCCTCATCCTGATTCAGGTAAGACCTGGGCTACAGGACTCCATGTTTGGGGGAATTGGTTGCACATGCACTTCCTGAGGCCAGAGGTTCTCGGCCTAAATGATACACTTTTAAGAAATCACAAGGTAAATTAGAAAATGCTTTATTCACTTTTTTAAACTTCAACTTTTACTTGAGACTCAGGTTTTTTAACATGTATGTTGCATATTGCTGAGGTTTGGGTACAAATGATCCTATCACTCAAGTAGTGTGCATCATACCCAATGGTTAGTTTTTCAACCTTCTCGTCCTCCCCTATCTAGTAGTCTCCAGTGTCCATTTTTCCTATCTTTATGTCCATGTGTACCCAATGTTTAGCTTCCCCTATAAATGAGAACATGTGGTATTTGGTTTTCTGTTTCTGTGTTAATTTAATTATAATAATAACCTCCAGCTGCATCCATGTTGCTGCAAAGGACATGATTCTATTACTCTTTGTGGCTGCATCATATTCCATGGTTTATAGCTCCATATTTTCTTTATCCAATCCACCATTATGAGAGAATCTAGATTGATTGAATATCTTTGCCAATATGAATGCCACAAGTGCATATGTCTTCCTTAGTGGAACAATGGATTTTCTTTAGGATATATACCCATTAATGGGAACAGTGTGGGTTGAATGGTAATTCTGTTTTAAGTTCTTTCATAAATCTCCAAACTGCTTTCCAAAGTGGCTGAATTAGTTTACATTGTAAGCTAATGTAGTTTATACACCAACGATGTGTAAGTGTTCCCTTTTCTATGCACCCTTACCAGCTTATGCTAATTTTTGACTTTTTTATAATAGCCATTCTGATTGGTGTGAAATGGTATCTCACTGTGGTTTTTATTTGCATTTCTCTGATTATTAGTGATGTTGAGCATTTTTATGTGCTTTTGGACACCTGTATGTCTTCTTTTGAGAATTGTCTATTCATATCTTTTGTCCACTTTTTAATGAAGTTGTTTTTTGCTTGTTGAATTAAGTTCCTTATAGATTCTGAATATTAGATTTTTTTCAGATACATATTTTCTCCCATTCTGTAGGTTGTTTACCCTGTTGATAGTTTCTTTTCCTTAACAGAAGGTCTTTCACTTAATTTGGTCCCATGTATCAATTTTTGTTTTGTTGCAATTGCTTTGTAGGACTTAATCATAAATTGTTTTCCAAGGCTGATGTCTAAAATGATATTTCCTAGGTTATCTTCTAATATTTTTATAGTTTGAGATCTTACATTTAAATCTTTAATCATCTGAAGTTAATGTTGTTATGTAGTGAAACATAAGAGTCCAGTTTCATTCTTCTGCATATAGCTAGCCAGCTGTCCTATCCCAACATGATTTGTTAAATAGAAAATCTTTTCCCCATTGCTTATTAATGTCAACTTTGTCAAAAATGAGATGACTATAGATGTGCGGCTCTATTTCTGAGGTCTCTATTCTATTCAATTGGTCTATGTGTCTGTTTTTGTATCAGTACCATGCCTTTTTGGTTATTGTAGCCTTATAGTATGGTTTGGAGTTAGGTAATGTAATGCCCCAGCTTTGTTCTTTTTGTTCAGGATTGCTTTGGCCATTTCAATTCTTTTTTGGTTATATATGAATTTTAGAATAGTTTTGCAATGATATGGGTAGTTTGATAGGAATAGTGTTGAATGTGTATATTGCTTTGGGTGGTATGGTCATTTTAACAGTATTGATTCTTTAAGTGAATGAGCATGAAATGCTTTTCCATTTGTTTGTGTCATTTCTTATTTCTTCTAGTAGTATTTTGTAGTCCTCCTTGTAAAGATCTTTCACCTCCTTGGTTAGATGTATTATTCTTTCTTGTAGCTGTTATAAATGGTATTGCTTTCTTGATTTGGCTCTCAGTTTAAATATTATTGTTGTACAGAAATACTATTTATTTTTGTACATTGGTTTTGTATCCTGAAACTTACTGAAGACGTTTATCAGTTTTCTAGTTACAGAATCAAATGGTTGGAGAAGAAAAGTAGTATGAGTTCTTATTTTCCTATTTGGATGTCTTCTATTTCTTTCTTTTGCCTGATTGCTTTGGCTATGATATCTAGTACTATGTTGAAAAGGAGTGGTGAGAGTAGGGATCTTTGTCTTGTTCCAGTTCTCAAGGGGAATGGTTCCAGCTTTTGCCCATTCAGTATGATGTTGGCTGTGGGTTTGTCATAGAAGATTGAGTCACATTTACTGATTTGTGTATTTTGAACCAGCGTTGCACCCCAGAATGAGGCCTACTTGTTCCAAGTAGGCCAAGATCTACTTGGTCATGGTGAATTAACTTTGCTACATGCTGCTGGATTCACTTTTCTAGTATTTTGTTGAGAATTTTTGCATCTATGTTCATCAGGGATATTGGCCTGAAGTTTTTATTTTTGTTGTATCTGTGCCAGATATTGGTTATATGACACAGGGTAAACATCCATCTGGCTCAAGGGGCAACTGCAGCATGTGCAGCATTGGCAGTGGTACCTAAGTGGTAGAACTATTTCACACTAACCAGTTGAGGACTACACAAGATTGGTACCACCTAGCATCAGGATATAGCTGGAGGATTTGACAAGCCATTCCTATTTCTAACTTCAGGAATAGATATTCTTCCCAGTCCATCTTAAAATATTGCTGCTTTAATCACAGATCAGATAAAAAAGATAATGTGCACAACCTCTAACTAAAATCCTGTTGTAGCCTAGACAGTGAAATGATATGACATCAGAAGACTTTAAAATCGCAGCTCTTTTTGGATCTCACAAAGTGTATCTGCACTCTTTTTCAAACAGGCCTCTTCCTCAGGAGTCAGAGTCACCTTCACAAGGTCTGAGATTCCATTCTGTCCCAAAATGCAAGGAACACTAAGGAAGACATCATCCTTTATTCCATAGAGACCCTTAATCATAGTAGAAATTGGGTGCAGCCCCCTAAGATTCTTTATTATACTCTCTGCCAAATCTGCCACAGAGTCCAGTGGCCCAGGATGTGTAGTGTTTGAGTTTGATCACCTTGTAAGCACTCTCAGCCACCTACTTGTAAACCTCTTTCCACTGTTGCTTGTCTGTACCAGTCCCTAAATCAGGATGCAGAGTCTTCAGGGAGACACCAGCAACGTTCACTCCACTCCATACAGGCACACTAGAATCTCCATGTTCCCCAAGGACCCACCCATGATAGCTTAATAAGTGAACTCCCAGCCTTTCCCCATCAGGTAACAGAATTGGACTGAATCCAGATTGCAACCACTTCCAATAACACAGTTTTTGGGAAAGCCATTTATCTTCCAAGCCACATAGGTCAAGACATCTACTGGATTTGAAACAATAATCAACTTGCTCTTCAGATTGTGTTTTACATTAAGAATGATGAAATTAAAGATGTTCACATTACACTAGACCAAATTAAGATGCTTTCTCCCTCTTGCTGATGTGCCCTAGCCCAATGATCAGCTTGGAGTTTACAGTTACATTATAGTCTTTCCCAGAGACAATCTTTGGTGTTCTAAGGAAAAGGCTGCCATGTTGGAGATCCTTCATCTCTTCCTTCAATTTATCTTCCATGGCATCAACAAGAGCACGTTCATCTGCCAAGTCCTTCATGGACTTGTTGGCATGGCACAGGTTGGGATGTGCCAACCCCAACAGCTGTTATCTTATTCTGGGGAGTCTGTTCTTCCTTTAGAAGATTATGAATCAGCTGATCCTTGAGAGTTGCCATATTGGACTTGGAACCAAAAGGAATTGGGAATGCACATCAGGCAGGCATCGGGGGTGCACAGCAGTGAAATCTGGACTCGTGGCAACAACTCCAGCACCTGGTTTTATTAATTCTTCGTATGGATTTTGGGGTCTCAATTTCATTTAATTCTGCTCTGATTTTATCCCTATTCCTTTTCTTCTGCTAACTTTAGGAGTTGTTTGCTCTTGTTTTTCTAGTTCCTCTAATTGCAATATTAGATTGTGAATCTAATTCTCAGTATAAGCATTTAGCACTATAAACTTTTTTTTTTGGAGACAAGGTCTCACTCTGTTGCCCAAGCTGTACTGTAGTGGTGTGATCATGGCTCACTGCTGCCTCAACCTCCCCAGGCTCAGGAGATCCTCTGTTCTCTACCTCCTGAGTAGCCAGGACTACAGGCACATACGTGTAGTGCCTGGTTAATTTTTGTATTTTTCATAAAGATAGGGTTTTGACAGGTTGCCCAAGATGATCTCAAACAGTTTAAGTGCCCTTCACCTCAGCCTCCAAAAGTGCTGGGATTACAGGCCCTGCACCCAGACACACTGTAAACTATTAATACTGCTTTTGCTGCATCCCAGAGATTTCAGTATATTGTTTCTCTACTTTCATTTATTTCAAAGAAGTGTTTTATTTCTGCTTTAATTTGTTGTTTACCCAAAAGACATTCAGAAGAAAGTTGTTTAGTTTCCATCTTAATTGTGTGGTTTTGAGAGATCTTGGTATTGATTTCTATTTTAATTCCACTGGTGTCTGAGAGTATGCTTGGTATGATTTTGATCTTTTTGAATTTATCAACTCTATTATGGCTGAGCATGTGGTTGATCTTAAACTATGTTCCATATGCAGATGAGAAAAATGTATACTCTGTGGTTGAGGGATGGAGTATTCTGTAGCTATCTCTTAGGTCCAATTAATTAAGTGTCTAATTTATGTCCAGAATTTTTTTTTAGTTTTCTGCCTCAATGATCTAACACTGTCCATGGGATGTTGAAGTCTCCCACTATTATGATGTGGCTTTCCAAGTCTTTTCATAGGTCCTGAAGTAGTTGTCTTATGAATCTGGATGTTCCAATGTTGGGTGTGTCTATATTTAGGATAGTTAAGTCTTTTTGTTGAATTCAATCCATTACCATTAGGTGATGCCTTTCTTTGTCCCTTTTAATGTGTCAATTTAGTCTTATTTCTACAATATAAGAATAGTCACCCCCTTCTCTCTTGTTTTCCTTTTGCATGATAGATCTTTCTCTATTCCTTTACTTTGAGCCTATGGATTTTGTTACATGAGAAATGGGTCTCTTGAAGATAGCAGATG